TGAGCTGGGCGCTGCTTTTTTGTGCTTTTGAGGCTGGAGACGTTCCATGCAAGCGGTCAAAGGGCAGACGCGCAGTGTGGTAAAGATGGAGACGTGTACAAATGTGTAAATGTTCAAAAAGGGTTCAACTGAGGACCTGCCCCCAATGCTCAATATTAGACTGTACTACCACCCTCAGGAGGGCATTGTCCCGTCTTCACACCGCCGCCATGACCCAACGCCAGACGAAATGCATTTCCGTCAGTCTACAACACGGACTCCCACGTGCCAGGTAGGCTTTTGGCCCCCCTCCTTTGGGCCCCCAAACAGCCCCACTCCTTCTTCCCATGCCATCTAAGATGCTGCGCTTGGTAAGGCCGCACTTTGTCAAGCATTCCTCCACGCCGAGAGCAATGCTCGCAGGAATAGCACCGCGGACACGGTCAATGTCTTCGCCGGCAATGCTCTGTCCAAAGGCGGCAGCAATGACATCGTCGCTCATGGCGAAGGATCCGTCGAGGGCCTGGAGGGTGCCGAAGTCTTCGTTTGCGAATGAGGCTACGAAAACGGCGGGCTCACAACTATGATCATGTCAGTCCTTTCGTTGGTTCTCGGGAACAATGTAGCAACTCACTCTGGGTTGAACTGGGTATGGATGGAACCTTGGTAGAAGGGCGTCATCATGAAGGGACACAGCTCGGTGCGGATGACGCGGCGGCTGCCGTCCGCATTGAGGATGCCGTTTTCGGGCACCATTTCGGTGATGAGGCGGCCAGAGATGACCATTTGCAGCTCCGCGGAGCGAGGGTGGACATGGAGCGTGTTCATGCCACAAGGGTCAACACGGCCGAGAGCCATGCCGGACGAGGTGCCGACGAGGGCCGGGAAGGTGACGCGGTTGGCGGCAACGAGCTCGCCGCCCTTTCCTGGCTTGGGCTGGGGCTGGTTGAAGTTGAAGATGAAGTCTTCGTTGTTGGGCAGGAGGCTGAAATACTCGGCGGCACTGTAGCGTGTCAGCTGTGACTCTTGATGTCGGTCGCCGGTCTTGGGTAAAGACGTACTTGTCAGCGAGCCGGAGCTGCTTGGTCAGGCTCGTGGTAGGAGTGCTGTGCGTTGTATTGGTGTACGGTACACGCACAGTGGACGGCAGAGCTACGGCGGTGGAGGCCAAGAGCACGGCAGCACTCGCAAAAAGGGTGGAAGAGTGCATCTTGAACAAGCTCGGATGCGATGGGACGTTGTGTGAAGGCAGTGGTCGCTTGTCTTGTCTTGAGGCTAGAAATGTTAAGGCTAGGAAAGATACTTGAACGGTGAAAGACGGCTGGCTGTAGTGTTGGTCAATATTGGATAGAGATGGTCTGACATGGCCAAGACCATCACGTATACTTATAAGTCTGGTTCATGCCCATATTTACGGTTTGTCCTTGGCCCCCTACCTTTCGCTCCCATCTAGAAGGATCGCAAGCCTCCCGGACTGGATGGCATCCGAGGGACGACGCAAGTTGATCCGCTGGCCATTCAGTGTCATGGTCTCGGCCCGGTGGCTCAGCAGCCGATGGGATGTCTGTCATCCCAATGTATCCAGGAAGGTAGGTTTCCTCGGATGACTCTAAAAATTGCAGCAGACACACTGGCGTCAGATGAGGGTGGCATGGCCCAAAACGCTCCGCCTCGCAAAGAATGGAGTTGAGCGAATAGCCGACAGCGAACTTGGTGTCATCCGCGTGTTCTCCTTGAAGAGGTGGGTGCACGCCATTGTCGTCGTCGCAGCGTTGGGGGCTAGTGCTGGGCCTTTTTTTCTTTTTTCTTTTTTTTCTCTTTTTCGGACACTGTCAGCAGCCCGCAACTTGTCCGGCAATGGGTGCTCCCGACAAGAGGCTGAGCAAGTGCGGAGAGAGCGACTGTCGTGATGGTTGTGTTGGTGGACTTTTGACGAGCTGCTACCGTCATGTACCGGTGCCTTATGTAAGCGAACGACGGCGTCTTCTGTCAGGCGCCGACAGCGTGCACAAGAAGGAAGCGCCTGTTCCGGGGGGCTGACTGTCGGCTAAAAATACAAGGCGGCCGCTGCGTGAGACGGGAAGCGACAGAGAGAGAAGCGGGGGGTAGGATTGCTGGCTGGTGCTGCTGGCGCGTTGAGTCGCAGTTGGCAGGCTGCCTGGTCACAGTACGCTAATCGATCCGGCTCGTTCCACACCTCCCGTCGTACCTTATTGCCGAGAGCGAGGACCTAGGGTGCACGTGACCCACCTAACCTACATGGGACCTCGCTCTTGTGTTGGTGTGTGTCAACAAGATGACTCGGATGGAGCCGGTTCATCTGATGCCAGTTGTCAATTTCCACGATGGGACACACTATCGAACGCGACACTCTGCCAGTGCTCTCGGCCGATTCATGCTTGTTTCTCGTCTTTCTTTTCGTTTTCACTCATGCCGTAAAACACCCGAGCAAACAAGGACAGCCTGTCTTGCCCTGGACGGCTTGCCTGGGACATTCAGATCCCTCAGCACACCGCTGGGGTTTACAGCGCCTCCTTGCATGTGAGACACGTGGAGACGGGCCTGCGAAAGGCTGCGTCTGCTGTATGCCACGCCGTTGGAGTGCCGGCCCCGATGCCGCGTCAATGGAGAGCACGGGAGGGGTCATTCCTCGAGGATACACAATGCGTTGCTCATTGACAATCGCCTTGATTACATCATACAACATGCACCCGCGTCCTCGTGCCGAGAGAGTCGGCACGTCGAGAAGACGCCGCATGCACCGTGGCACAGGCCCTTCCATCACCGAGTACCTAGTGATGGTGGAGGCAGCGAACACACAAGGTCCAGCATCAGAGCGCGTCGCGCCGCTGTTCATGGTACATGTAGCAACAGAGACCCCACCGCGTCACAAAGCGCAGAGGGGCCTGGATGAGGGCCTGGCAGAGGCTCATCTCGGTTCATCTAGCGACCATCTTGCGCTCACTCTCCCATTGGCCCCGTGCCTGA